TGCTGAGATCTGCTTTCACAAAAGGAATCTTGTCCACCTCTTCAGGAAATGGCCGATGTTTCACAGAATATTTAAATCCAACATCATTTTTAGGAACTGGGCGAGGTTCAGGCACAAAAAGCTGTTAAAACAAGTAACATTATGTTTATTACATAGGGTCTAAGACCCATCCATAATGACATGTATTTCCCTGGTCTCTTAGATGCCTGTGTTTCCCTTGGATTACATGTCACGAAAACTCACTGAAATCTGCAAATGCTACAGATAACAAGAAAGGTAAGCAGCCTGTGTCCCTGTATATTCTATTTTTCTAAAACTATTCATCGACTTCTCATAGCTCTCATGACTGAAAAACAGGCTGTGGACCTCTACTGCAACAGATCTGAATCTCCCATATTCAGTGGTAATCCAGTGGGTAAAGCATTTTGGAGCTTTAAGATTCAAACTTTCTTCCCAAGGGGCTCTCACATCATTCCATATAATAAAGTACAAGTCTGGTCTCACTTGGCATCTCTACAAAGTGATTTCAGCAAGAACCTTAGTATGGTTTAAGAGAGTATGGGTAGCAAATCTAGGTCTTCATAGCTCCAAATCCATGCTTTTAATATGTATATGGGTACACAATGAACCCTGAACAAATTTTAGCTCCTTTCCTGGTCCTCTTCCTCTTCAGTCTTCAGTGCTAACTTACTAGCTTACAAAGTTGCTGACAGAATGTAATCTGCACAACACCCCAACAGAAAATAGAAGAGTGCTCCTCATTGGGTGATAAGCACATCTAACAGAGACATCTAGGATATTAAATGGTTTTAGGCACATGCTCCAATTTTGTGGTGTCTCTCAAATGCTGGTGAAATATTAAGTCATATTTTTAATTTTTAGTAGCAGAAGTAAAAGCTTACAATGTTATAAGTGCAAAGCGCAGTATACAAAATGACTCAAATTCTATTCAAGTGTTATTGTGTATGAAAAGAAAAAAAATGGGAAGGAAATCCACTAAAATATTAGCAGAGGTTATATTCCTCTGGATAGTGAGTACAGGCGATTTAAAATTTCTTCATTATATTCCCAACTTTTCAAGTATTATTCACATAGTTACAAATGTAATAAAGCAAATAAACTGTGTGCCCCCAAAAGATTTCATTAAATTATACATAGCATGCACATATATATACATATATATATATATATATTTTTTTTTTAATAAGGCTGGGTGTGGTGGCTCACATCTGTAATCCTAACACTTTGGGAAGCTGAGGTGAGAAGATCACTTGAAGATAGGAGTTTGGGACCAGCCTGGCAACAAAGCAAGACCCTACCTATACAAAAACTTTTTTAAATGAGCTGGGTGCCATGGCATGTGCCTACAGTCTCAGCTACTCCTGAGGCTGAAGCAAGAGGATCACTGGAGCCCAGGACTTCGAGGATGCAGTGAGCTACAATCATACCACTGCACTCCAGTCTGGGCAACAGAACAAGACCCTGTCTCTTTAAAAAATAAAATAAAAAATATACAGCATATTACCAATTATTATATAAGAACAAATCATAGAAGTTAATTTGAAACTAAGTCCTGTTGCTGGACACATCAAAGGTCTCACCAAATATTTCATGTATGGTATATACAGCTAGTGCTCGACTTATGACCACGATTGGTTCAGACAGACCGGTCGTAACACGATTTGGTCGTAAGTTGAGTAGGCTATATACACGTGGAGATGGTAGTGCTGCCGGAAGCTGGTCTGCACTGTCGTACGCCCAGCTGGGCAATGTTTGCGCTGCTAGATGCGGAGCAGTCGTGGCTAGCAATTGTGGTCGTAAAGTCAAATGGTCGCAAGTTGCATAGGTCGTAAGTCGATCAATACCTGTATCTAACTTTTATTACATGTAAAATTACATGGAAAAAAACTGGGGCCATTGTCCACACAGCAATTATTCTTAAGTAGATGTCAGAATCTCACCTGGAAAACTTTTTGAAAAGATACCTGCCTTGAAGATGTCTTTAAAGAATAATTGAGTAGATCTGGAATTCTAGGTTACTAGATGGTTCTGTTATGAACCCACTGACAGAGAATCTGGCTAGGGATCAAAAATATTTATTTCATCTGTGGTTTTTGTTGGAATGGTATCTAACTTTTAAATTACAAAACACACACACACTTCCCTGTAACTTCTGATGAATACCTTCTGATTTGCTTTTGCTCCTCTGGGTAAAAGACAAAGCTGTTGCGCCCAAGCAAGTCTTCCAGACATCCCCCGGACCAGCACAGTGACAGAGGGGAAAAAATCATCTAGAATAAAATGTGTATATAAAAGTTTTAATTTCAGACAACAACCATTAAAAATAAACTTGATATCAACTGCAGAGCTTCTTATAATCAAAGGTCCAACAGTGCTTCCTAAGCTTTGATCCTTTGGGTACCACCTCTGTGGTTTCTGCCATACCCATGTACTCTAAGCACTACTACTTTGTATCAACCACTCTTGAGCATCATTTTTCTAAATGGAAAATCAGGAATTTTGGCATGTTAATTATATAATTTTAAAGCACATGCTTAAAAATACATAATGTTCACTAATGTATCAACTAAGATCATATCACATACCTCCAGTGGTACATGTACACATTTGTGGGAAACACTGACCTAGTAAATACTCCTAACCCCCCAATGTTGGGCACAACTTAAGTGCAGAAAGATAGACCAGGTGTTTGCAGTGTTAGTGTTATACCTGCCCATGCCTTGCAGGCACTACTCCATCTCAGCAGAAGTTCAGGGGTGCAGTGGAGGGGGGTTAAAAAAAAACTCAGGATGAACTTCCTGAGTGACCCAGATCCTTCTTTTTATTCTTCTGTCTCAGGTGTGGGAGTCAAACACCTTCAAACTTCTCTATAATTTCTTATTATTATAAACTATTAAAATGTCCTTGTAAACCTATACAATTCCAATTGCTTATATTTTTGGTAAACTTCCTACGCAATGAAATTATTTGGAATGAAAGTAGAAGAGTCTTCAAAAAGCTAGAAAAAGGCCAGGAAGCCTGAAGGGGACATTGGGATTTTGCAGACCCCTCAGCAGATGGCTTGGGGGTAGGAGGCTGGAGGAATCACGAATAGTCACAGGCCAGGAAAGGAAGCTAAGCAAACTCCAGGTATAGGGTAGGGAAGGATGAGATGACTGTAGAAAAGACTTGGGAGTAGCACTTCTGGAGTTACGCAATAATAAAAGGCACCATTCTTTTTCATATTAATGTCACGGTATCTCACCACAACACAATGGAAATTTATGATGGTATTCTTTCAACTCAAACTACAGGGAAATGTCTCACTTTCACTTTACGGATTTATGAGCTCCTACTCATACAATCAACAAAATTGGCACAGGACTCTGTTCACCTTTACAAAAGGGAAAAAGGCAAATCTTCAATCGCTCAGCAAATCCTATCACTATGCGACAACAATAATAGAAAGCAACAATACAGGGTTTAGAAAATGTGGGTTTTGGTCCCAAGTAACCCTCGGCAAGTAATATACCCTCTGTGAGCCTGAGCTTTTTCCCTCATAACTAAGGAAACTGTACACCAGGTGATTCCTTGGGTCACTTTATACCCACAAATTCTGTAACCTTCACTTTCCTTCCCCTCTGAGAATATGCTTCTTTTACATAGTGGCTGATGCCAATTACCATCAGAAAAACAAAAAAAACAAAAAAAAACATACTTTTGAATAGTTTGGGTCGCAGTGATAATCACATACTGTGAGATGGCTTATAACTGAGGGGGAGGGAAAGGAGGAAAACCGTGCATGTTGTGTTAGTGGAAAATCACTGAAGAGTTTTCGGTAGGGCACTGGCATGGTCATTTGTAGTTGAGGATAAATACTACGGTGGCAGCAAGTAGGACAGGAGTAGGGTAAACATATGTTGGAACTGACAAGGGGTCTGGGGGTTGGGGAAATCAGAGTAGGTAGGAAACAACTGTGATAATTTAGGTGAGAAATAATAAGGTCCTGCACTTGGAGATGGAAACTTAGAAACGAATTATATAAGGGAGTAACAGGAAGGAGCAAGTAAAGATAACTCCTCAAATCTCTAGCCTGTGTTAAGTAGCACCAACAACTGATATAGAACATGAGGAGTGAGAGGCAGGGGAGTAGAGGGGCAGAATCCAAAGTTCAAGGGGGAAGAAAAAGTGACAAAGATAAAACAATGTATCCCACTAAAATGCCACCTTTTAGAAAACTACAGAGCTAGTTCAGATGTATATAAAGAGCCTTTAAGAGACTCTACTTAATATGTAGATTCTATTTTTTGGCTCACTACTTTTCAGGTGCTATTGTCCCACACCTAGAAGTCTTTTTGATCTGCTTAGAATCTGTAGTCTGTCCTTCCCTGATCCTAGAAACAGCTTCACGGTACTGGTAACACTGATTTAGAAGTAGAGAAGGCTCAAATACTAAAACTTACTCTGCTCATTTCCAAGAGGTTGTTCCAGCATTGCCAGGATGACACTGTTATCCAAGACAAAGTACCGGAAACTATGCTTGTTTATGGTTGGCAGCCTGGAGTATTTAATCAAAGTGGTCTCATTCACAAGACTACAAGGAGAGGCAGGACCACTAGGTGAAGGAAATGCGCCAAGCAACTGCATAATGCTATGGAGAATGGAAAAGATAACAGTTAATTCCCAAAGCAAAATCTTCAGTTTACCTCGTGCATCAATGTGTCCTTCCACTCTTCTGAATTTTAATTGACCACAGCCATGCTTCTTGACAGGTCAGATTTACTCCTTGTGGTGAATGCCATGGCATGCTGTCCAGACTCTCCCCTCCAAGATTAAAAGATTACCCCAGATGCATATTTGTATGTCTTTATTTCAGACATTTATCTGCCTTTCCAGTCTGGTCAATATCCAGAAAAGAAAATACAGTTAGGCTGGTATAATATGATCTCAGTGACCTTACCAACAACCTATTTGATATCTTAGAATCTTCGGTGGAACACAACAAACTCATATTCCATATGCTTTATAACAACATCTCTGTCCCATTTTAGAAAACCAAAGCCATATTTTCTCATTATTGATCTCCTGGTGTTTCTCCTATTTTCTGCAAACCATGAGAGGCCTGAACTTAATGCCAAGTTCTCCTGGTCCCTGTAGTTCTTACACAGTCTTCCTTTAGAGACAGAGGAAATGGAGAAAAAAAATAATCTGTTGAGCAATGTTGCTTTCCATTGTTAGATATCTTTGGGTTCAAGCTTCAGAGTGAAAGAGGAAAGGCCACTCAAGCTGAGGGTTGAGATGATAAATGTGGTGTTGTGGAATACTGGTTTTCCAAATGAGATGCATATGAAGGGTCAGGTGATATCAGAACCACAAGATAAAATCTTTGTTTTAATTGTAAGATACTTTCTTTCTGTGCAAGATAGTCTTCTTTCTTACGAAGATAATCTTTCCTCATTATAAAATGGGAATAATGGTACCTATCTCATAGGATTGTTACGTGATATAATATCATAACATCACAACAATTCACATAATATAACAATCCTATGAGATACGTACCACTATTATTCCCATATACCATTATTATTCCCATTTCGCATTATATGAAATGTTATTTCATACAATACATGAACTTGTAGATAGATTTAAAAAATCTCTGTGGACCTGAAGGAAATCCTCTGACAATGTGCTTTGTGAGTCTATCTATTCAATATTTTTATTAATGTATTTAGAACACACAGGATATGCTCATTAAATGTGCAGCTGACCAAAAGCTGAGTTGCAGAGATAATATACCATAGTAAGAGTTGAGATCCAAAAGAATCTTAAAAGATTAAAAATAATGAGGTAAATCTTAGATGAAGAAATTTCAGGTTTAAATGTAAAGTTCTGTGCATTGCATTCAAACACTCCCAAATAAAAAAAAAAAAAAAAAAAAAAAAAAAAACAAAAAGTGCGGAAAAAAAAAAAAAAAAAAAACTCAAGAATTTTAGCTGATTTAATGCAAATCACCAAGTTCTCAAAAATGCAATGCAGTCTGAATACATTTTAATGAAAACATAATATTATACAGAGTTTAAAGATCATAAAATCACATCTAGAACATTGTACTCAGCCGGGTTTGGATGGCTCACACCTGTAATCCCAGCACTTTGGGAGGCTGAGGCGAGAGTTCTGCTTGAGCTCAGGAGTTTGAGACCAGCCTGGGCAACACAAGGAGACCTTGTTTCTATTTCTTTATAAAAAATATGGCTGGCCACAGTGGCTCTCACCTGTGATCCCAGCACTTCAGAAGGCTGAGGCAGGTGGATCACCTGAGGTCAGGAGTTCAAAACCAGCCTGGCCAAAATGAAGAAACCCCATCTACTAAAAATACAAAAATTAGCCAGGCATGGGTGGCACGTGCCTGCAGTCCCAGGTACTTGGAAGGCTGAGGCAAGAGAATAGCTTGAACCTGGGAGGCGGCAGTTGCAGTGAGCCAAGATCATGCCATTGCACTCCGGCCTGGGAGACAGAGTGAGACTCCGCCTTAAGAAAAAAAAAAATAATAATAAGAGCATTATACTCTGTAAACCACCTGTAAGAGATGAACAGTCAAACCTATGCCAGCTGAGAATAACCAGGATGATAAAGGGACTTGAATCTTTGTAATATTAAAAAAAGAAAAACTGAAGATAATGGCAGAAATGAACCAGAGAGAACATAAGCACTGCTTTTGGATACTGCTACTGCCTGGACAAAAAGGATTTAATGATCAAAAGTATGAATGAGAACCAATGCATAGAAATGAGAGAGATTTTAGCTCAATGTAAAGTTTCAAGTTTTTAACAATTAAAATGAAATGGACAAACTTGAGGGTTAGAAAATCCCCATACTAGAGGCTAAATAATTTGTTAAACATGTCTTAAAGGTGACAGGCAAAGGGGCTGTTGAAATGACTTCCGAGAGCCCTAATTCTGAATTTGTATTAGTACACACAGGAGGAAAAAACCTAACCAGCTAATCTGTACTCCATAATTTTCTAGTATGTGCTCAGCACTGTGTTGGCAAAACAGGCAAATGTGCTCTCTACCCAGACCAGGAAGTCAACACTAGCATGCAACACATGTAACCAGGTACAATCATGACAGTATAGAACTCCTTGCTGTGCGGAAGGGTCAGACAGAATGAGCACAGAAGTACAGAAAAGAGTCATCTTCAGAAGCAGAAAAACCAAAGGCCCCATGGAGGTAACTAGGTTTGCTCTAGGCACTAAATAATGGAAGATGTAGCCAAAGGGAGAAAAGAGAGGTCCTGAAACCCAGGGGAAGAGCATAAGCAGGTATAAGCATGGCCAGTTCACAGCCACAGTGGTCTGTCAGGCCTGACAATGGCAGAAGGAACAAGCTGCAAAGCAGTGGTGGAAAAGATCAGATGGTACCCTTGAAAACCAAATGGAGGAGTTTAGACAACAAGGCAGGAAACGGATCTATTCAAGGTTTTCAATCATTCAAGCAGCAGGATCAAAACTGTGCTTAAGGATGATGAGTTTTGCAACAGACTACAAGATGAACAAGAAGGGCTAAGAGATTAAAAATGGGCAATTGGACAAGAAGTGAGGAGGGCCTGGACTAGGATGCTATCCAGGTTGGAGGGGATGGAGGAAATACTTTACAAAAATAAATTCTGTTGGACTCAGTCACTGGCTTCACATGGGGAATAAAAGAAAGATAAATTAGAGAAACAGCCAAAGTTCCGTGTTTACATAACTGGGAAACAGCAATGATACTGAAATAAAGCAGCAATTTTGAGAGAACAGAGAAATCTTGTTAGGGACATGTTTCATGATGTCAGTTTAGACTGAAAACTGGAGATACCATTTGCAGAGTTGCCAGCAGAGACAAGACAACTGAAGAGAAACAGATGAGCCATCTAGCTTACTGGCAAGGTTGTGAAGAAGCATCCCAAGACTCTACTCGCCCTGAGCACATATCCGATCCTCACGGCCAGTCATGCTCTCATAAAAACCCCATCCAGGCTAGGATGGAGCAAACTTATTTTTGTATAATAGAGTTTCTAGTGAAAAATGTCCTCTCCTTTCTCTCCATATCCTTCTTACTTTTCAAGGCACACATCAAGTTTTAGTTCTATGACACTTTTTTTTTTTTTAGACGAAGTCTTGCTCTGTTTCCAGGATGGAGTAAAGTGGCGCTATCTCGGCTCACTGCAACCTCTGCGTCCTGGGTTTAAGCGATACTCCTGCCTCAGCCTCCTAAGTAGCTGGGACTACAGGTGAGCGCCACCACGCCCAGCTAATTTTTGTATTTTTAGTAGAGACAGGGTTTCACCATATTGGCCAAGATGGTCTCGATCTCTTGACCTCATGATCCACCAGACTCAGCCTCCCAAAGTGTGGGATTACAGGCATGAGCCACTGCGCCCGGCCCCATGACACGTTTAAGGCTACTCTGGCCCACACACGGTCTTCTCTCTGAACTTAGATTACTTCTAGTATTCATCATCAGCATAAGCACATGCTTCAGTAGCTTTATTCACATATATATTTTTTTATTTTCTAGCTATTAGCCAAACCTCCATAAAGTCACTGAAAGTTCAACATTTGCATAGTGAGCAGGAAAGCACTCTTCCAAAAATTCACTGAATGACTTAAGCCCACAGGAACAGAAACAAATCCAACTTGATTGTGCATGTCCCAAGTAAGCAACCGGCCACTGAACTCACAGAAGATGCTGGGATCTTGGTAAGGGAAGACTTACACACAAATTTTCAAGTGGTTTTGCCTGCCACTTTATACTAAGACCAAAATGAGCAAGCCCAAGGACTTGACACTCCTCCTTGTTGCTTTTACATTTTCTGAGGCTTCATCCGCACATGTCCTTTCATAAGCCCCATCTTTCCATGTGTACTATGGTTCCACCTAATCTCCACTACCTGTTCCATTCAGTCCACCAATGTGCCTAGGCTGCCTTCCTTCCCTGTTTCCCCTATGCTCACTTACAAGCCAAACACAAACTCTCTCAACTTTCACTGCGACTCTTTTTCAAGGTACCAAACTGTCTTTACCCCTTTACTACACCAAAATGCTCAAAACAGCAGCCTTGGTGCCTTCTTACCCACCCTATAATCTGGCTTGCAGCTCAAACTTGACCCATCCTCTCACAGTCAGGTTCAATGTCATTTTCCCTAAGAATGTTACTCTGACTTCCCCTTATCTGGAAGTATTCACTTCCTCCTTCCAACTCCCCAGCATTTTATTTATATCTCTTCTCTTGGAGCACTTATTTTCCACCTAATATTACAGTTATTTGTGTTCAAATTTCATCTTCCCTAGCAGACAAGGTGGTAAAGGTAGTGGTGACTAAATCGGATTTATCTTTATGATTCTATTCTCAGTTCTTCAGAGAGTTCATACATCTTGTTGAATTAACCTATACTGTGTAATATAAATGGTATAGCAGAGAACACAGACCACTGAGCTGGAAAGCAGAGCTCATAGTGTAACCACAGAGAGACAGACACCATCTCTGGACTTAGCTACTGAAGTGAAGTGTGCAATAAGTCTCTCCAAGATCCTTTCTAACTGTAACACACTATGACTTGAATTAACATCAAACGGTATAGAAAAAGAAGGACTCAAATTCTCAACCCCAAGTTCCTAGTTTCTTTTGGTCTAAAAAACTGGTAAAAAAAAAAAAAATATATATATATAGATAGATAGATAGATAGATTTTCTTTCCATTTTATTTCTGGAGGAAAAAGTACCCTAAAGGGGTTGCATCACATAAAGCTGAACAATCGGGAAGGAAATGAAACAATTGGATCACTGCTAACCCCATCTAATTCCTAGGCACAATCCCTATGCGGTCACTTCCATACCATGTTAGGGTGGCTTCAGCAGCATCCTTTACCCTCATAGATGCAGGGTTTGGCTCCTTATCTCCTTTGTACTTGACCTCTTGCTCGCTGTGCTTGGACTTACTTCCTGAAATACCCAGTTCCACAATCTCCAGTACTTCCTTAAGGCAGTCCTAAAGGCAGAAAAGGCAGATCCATTTTTGTAACACAACTTTCTCATGAGAAGACAAGGAAATCCATCCAAATGCTAACAGTAGATGCATTTTGGTGGAAGGGCTTCCAGTTTCTTGCTAATTTCTTTAATGGGTGTATATTAACCTCATAGTAATATCATAAACTTTACACCCCCATCCCTCGATTTCTCTTTAAAGAACTCAATTTGGGTGTTTAGAGAGTTAGATAAGTAAATTCAATTCAATTTTCTTGTAAAATTACCAAAGACTGTAAATCAAAGCACAAAGAGATGAAATAGAAATTCAGTGAAACCTGGGCTGGTTTAAGACATGGTATAATATCCAAAGGAAATCCTGTCATTGACATTTTTAGATAATTTCTGGTATTATAACTTCAGAAGCCATAATGAAAATGACTAAGATTTAATCAACAATATTATTTCTTAAACTACATAAAGGTTTCTACAAATATCCAATGATCTCTCCTTTTATTTGTGCTGTGAATTCCTTATAACACCTGCTTGCCTATAAGGAAGACATTACATGAAACAATGGTAGAGAATGCAGACTAGTTATCTGCGCCCACTTGAGAGTGAAGAAATGAGTATGAAGTAACATTTTTCGATAGAAGGAACCTTTACGGACAAGTTGTGCTCTAGGTTTGCAGCCTGGCAATCAACTGCCCTTCTTTGTTTGGTGAAGGGTGGCCAAAGTGCCTACTAGCTATATCCAGGCTACCATCCTTTCAAGAAAGAACAGTCTTGATAGTTCAGATAAATTAGTCAAGGTCCCATCTTTCTAAATAATTTCTCTATGAGTTAATCTACAACCAAATATAAGCAAAATGACAGTTTTCAAGTTGTACCCAAAAGGACAAGTGCTCCATTATATCTAACATGTATTTTCAGTTTAAAGTGTGCAATACTGTATTTAAATTTAGATATTCTCTTTCAAAAGGCACTTTGCTAGCATACATTGTTTTTACTTAATGGTTTAAAATAAAATAAATTCACCTTTTCATCAAGCATATCAGGGTGCTCTGTCAGCCAGACACAGAGACACTGAAAAGCTGCCACTATCATGGAGTGCAGATCCCTGGAGTGAAGAGGAGCTGGCCGACTACATTGATAAACAATGTAGCTGCACACAGAACTGATGGCTCGTTTCCGGTCTCCTGAGTCAACCATCACTTTTACCTGAGCATATTCATTTGGAAAACAAAAACAATCAGCCAGGAATTACTGTACCTATTACAAAGCATTTGCACTGAAGCTTGACCTATTTGACAATGTGATACACTACAGGAAGCCTTGCTTTTTTTTTTTTTTTTTTTGAGAGGGAGTTTCGCTCTTGTTGCCCAGGCTGGAGTGCAATGGCGCGATCTCGGCTCACCGCAACCTCCGCCTCCTGGGTTCAGGCAATTCTCCTGCCTCAGCCTCCTGAGTAGCTGGGATTACAGGCACGCGCCACCATGCCCAGCTAATTTTTTGTATTTTTAGTAGAGACGGGGTTTCACCGTGTTGACCAGGATGGTCTCGATCTCTTGACCTCGTGATCCACCCGCCTCGGCCTCCCAAAGTGCTGGGATTACAGGCGTGAGCCACCGCGCCCGGCCTAGCCTTGCTTTTTTATATTATTTGTATACAGGATCAGAATATTTCAGATGTAGTATAATACTCTACAAAAAATAGTGGCATTTTTCAAGTCCTGAAACAGTATTTCATTTTAGCATAGTTTTTTCATGCTCTAAAACCCAAACCCATTGTGTATACCTGTTCATCACTGCCAGAGACTGAAAGAACATGGGCACATTTTAAAATCCCTAACCCAGCCTCACAGTGATGCTCTAGGCTCTACACAAAGTTCTGTGTAGCTGCTCAGAGACATAATCATCATACAGGAAAGAGTCCAATATTTCAAGTATACAATTGGTCAATTCTGACATAAGTATGCACCTGTGAACTATCACCACAATCGACAGCGGACATATCTATCACCTCCAGAATCTCCTCATGCACCTTTGTAATCCTTCCTCCCACCCCTTTTTGCCCCTCTCCCTAAGCAACTGCTGATCTGCTGTCACTATAGATTAGCTTGCATTTTCTAGAGTTTATATAAATAAAATCATATAAAATCATAAAATATGTACCTTTTTTGTTCTGGTTTCTTTCACTCAGCATAATTATTTTCAGATTTAACTATACTTTTAGTTGTATCAATTGTGCATTCATTTCTATTGCTGAGTAGTAGTCCATTGCATGGATATACCCCAACTTAATTTAGTTACCTATTAATGGACACTGGGTTGTTTCCAGCTTCTGGATATTATAAATACAGCTACTATAAACATTCATGTAAAAGCTATTTGTATCAATTTATGTTCTCTTGTCTCTCAGGAGTGGAATTATTGGGTCATATGCAGGTGTATGCTTAGCTTTTTAAGGAACAGCCAAGCTGTTTTCCAAAATGTGGTTCCATTTAACATTCCCATCAACAGCACATCCTCACCAACATTTGGTATGGCCAGTCTTTTATATTTCAGCTATTCTAATAGATTTGTAGTGGTGTCTTATTGTGGTTGTAATTGCATTTCCTTAATAATTAATGATATTGAGTATTTTTTCATGTGCTTATTTGTCATCTGTATAATCATCTTTGATAAAATGTCTGTTCAAATCTTTTGGCCAATTTTTAATTTGGTTTGTTGTATTAGTAAGGGTTTTTGTTGTCTTTTGTCTTCTTAAAATATTTCATTAAAGGTCTTTACAAGGCAACATCCAGACTCCAGAGCCAGCTGCCAAGGAGACCCTATTATTCAGTTGGGGCTAGGTAGAGCATGGCTTCCAAACCATCTGTCCTGAGATAGGCATGGTGAATAGTATCTCATCTTTAGGGTCCACGGTGCTCACGTGGTCAGGCAGGGGATTCTTAAGGCCAATCTTACCACTTGGTCCCAGGACACATGATCTTCACTCTGATGCCCAGCACACCTTGTCTGAGAAGCACATGGATGATGGTATCAACATAGTAGCTAATAGGGTCCCTGCTGTGGATCATGAGATCATACTCAAAGTTCATGGATTCAGTTCTCTGTCCTTAAGTTTCCCTGACACCATGACCTCGTAGCCCTTGCCCCACTCTCCATAGCGCAGCACACTACCGAAGGCTCTCCCTACAGAAAACCTAATAGTAGTTTATAGCACAGACTCTGTCTGGGCAATGGCATAGAGAATTCTTTCAGGCCACCTTTTCAGCATAAAGCTTTACTTGACCTCAGGGAAGCCAAACCTCTTCTGAACTACCTCAGCCAATTCACAGATAAAGTGGTTCTTTTCACCAAGAACATTCTGCATTCTGGATGCTAAGGCAGTGATTTCTATTCCGGCTGGTATAACTTGGACCTCAGCTCCAGAGTAGTCGCCTTCTGCAAGTTTCTGAGTGAAGAACTTGCTCAGTTTATTTCTGAAGATGCTATCAAACTTCCTCTTCTTAGAAATTTTCACCATACTGCTGCTGTGCACCACCAAAAGGAAAGGCTCTTATTGAGTTTTAAGAGTTCTTTATGTAATCTGAATACAAATCTTTCATCAAACATATGCTTTGTAAACATTTCCTCTCAGTCTGTGATTTGTCACCTCATTCTTTTAACAGTGTTTTCTAAAGAACAGCAGTTTTAAATTTTGAAGTCCAACATATCAGTTTGTTCTTCTATAGCGTAATATCTAAGAAATCTATCCCAAGTTCACAAAGATATTCTCCTATTTTCTTCTAGAAGTTTTATACTTTAGGTTTTCTATATATTTTTTTATGTAATAGAGATGAAATGTCACTACATTGCCCAGACTGGTCTCGAACTCCTGGGCTTAAGTGCTCCTCCTGCCTCAGCCTCCCAAAATGCTGAGATTATTATAGGCATGAGCTACCATGCCCAGCCAGTTTGAGTTAATTTTTGTTCATAGTGCAAGATATGAATCAAAACTTTTTTTTATGTATATGAATATCCAATTGTTTTTATAGTACCTCTGGTTGAAAAGACTGTCCTTTCTCCTTTGAATTACCTTTGCACCTTTATCAAAAATCAGATGACCACTTATGTATGGATATACTATTCTCTTCCACTGATCAATTTGTCCAACCCTATGCCAATACCAGGCTATTCTGATTACTGTAGCTTTATAGTAAATCACAAAACCAGGTAGTAAAAAAGATTTTAGAAATCTTTTTTAATGATTTGCCCTTTATGATTTGTAGGTCCAGAGCAGTGCTCCATCTAGGGCTAATTATTCCTTACTACTGAGTGTACTAAAGGTCACAGGAAATAGTACCTTACTCTCAAAGACAGTGTGCTCCTGTATGTCTCATAAATGGCTGTTTTTATTTTCTGTACCAGTAACTGCTTCTTGCAAAATTATGATGCCCATCCTGGAGGATCTTTGAGGTAACCTCTAAGTGGCGATAAAACATCTTAGGTTTCGCCGGGCGCGGTGGCTCACGCCTGTAATCCCAGCACTTTGGGAGGCCGAGGCAGGTGGATCACGAGGTCAAGAGATCGAGACCATCCTGGTCAACACGGTGAAACCCCGTCTCTACTAAAACTACAAAAAATTAGCTGGGCATGGTGGCGCGTGCCTGTAATCCCAGCTACTCAGGAGGCTGAGGCAGGAGAATTGCCTGAACCCAGGAGGCGGAGGTTGCGGTGAGCCGAGATCGCGTCATTGCACTCCAGCCTGGGTAACAAGAGCAAAACTCCGACTCAAAAAAAAAAAAAAAAAAAAAAAACCATCTTAGGTTTTATTGCTTATTTTGTTTCTTATGGCTTAGGTAAGTCACAGCCTCTGACACCTATTCCCATAACTGAAAAACGAGGGTCTGAACCATATCATCCCAGACAGTAGCACCTGTTTATTATCTTTTTGTTCACAAAATATTTTATTTATTTCCTCAATTATGTATTATATGTAAGATAATCCTGCTCATCTTACTGACAAGAAAACACTTAGATGTTAGAGAAAATGCAAAGGAAGTGAAACCTTCATACATTGGGAATGTAAAATGATTCAGTTACTATGAAAAACAGTTTGGCAGTTCCTCAAAAAGTTAAACATAGGGTTACTATATAACCCAGTAATTCTGCTCCTATGTGTACACCCAAAAGAACTGAAAAACTGGTATTCAAACAAATACATGTACATACATGTTCATAGCAGCAATACTGACAATAACCTAAAGATGAAAACAACTCAAATGTCCACTGAGTGATAAATGGATAAACTGTTATACACAATGAAGTATTATCCAATCATAAAAAGGAATACAGTTCTGACACATTCTACAACGTAAATGAAACTCAAAAACATTATGTTAAGTGAAAGAAACCAGAGACAAAAGGTCACACATTGTATGATTCCATTTATATGAAATGTCCAGAACAGGCAGATCCATTGAGACAAAATGCAGACTGGTGGTTGTCAGAGGAGGAGGGGTGGGGGAGCTGAAGCAAAACTGCTTAATAGGTATGAGTTTCCTTTAGGGGTGATAAAAACTTTTTGAAACTAGAGGTAGGAGTTGCTCAACATTGTGAATGTACCAATAGTCACTGAATTGTTTGCTTTTAAATGGCTAATTTTATATTACGCAAATTTCAAAGAAAGTATACGCTTAAGAGACGCACAAATGACCACCCAGTTCTAAGGTTCCACAAAACTGAAATACCAGGTGTGAAAGAAATCTGTAAAGCGTAGCCAAGGCCGGGTGCAGTGGCTCACACTTGTAATCCCAGCACTTTGGGAGGCCGAGGTGGGTGGATCACTTGAGGTCAAGAGTTTGAGATCAGCCTGGCCAAAATGGTGAAACCCCAACTCTACTAAAAATACAAAAATTAGCTGGCCGAGATGATGTACACCTGTAATCCAGCTACTCAGGAGGCTGAGGCAGGGGAATTGCTTGGAAGCAGAGGTTGCAGTGAGCTGAGGTTGTACCACTGCACTACAGCCTAGGCAACAGAGCAAGACTCCATCTCAAAAAACAAAACAAATGAAAAAAAAAGTGTAGCCAATTTTCACTTATCTCTGATCATAGAAGATGGCAGAGCCACAGGTAATCCCAAATGGCATACATTAAGATAATCACATTTTACAAAATCAATATGTATTCTATTATATGCAAATAAATAAATAGCAAGTATTGAAATGTTTCCTATAATTTAACAGTAAAAATCTCATTCATACTCTTTGAACCTATTTTTAAACAGTAAAGTTCATTTTGTAAAACTTCACTTGGAGGCTCAATTTTGCACACTTTGGATATAAACCAAACTAAATCAACACTAGTGATCAACACTGAAATACCCACACAAGGGGTCAAGAGATACAGAAAAAAGAGCCAAGGCCAAAAGCTGTTGGGTTAAAATAAAAGGACTGTCTTCCTCACCTTTGCAAGGCCAGAGAGGAGCTCTAGAGCTGCCAGTGATATGCTCATGTCTTGGCGCCACTGGGAGTTGAGTCTTTGAGTGACGAGATGAATGCTGCGAATCAGGAGCCCAGCAGCTGAATCTGTATTAAGAGCTAGGATATAACCCCAATGCCACGTCCCACAGGGAGGGAAAACAACTAAGCATTAGTAACGAGAAGCACAGCATCCACTAGGCACAGACCATAGCAGCCACAGTGAGAATGACGGGCACCCACACAGTGCTACGCTCCCCACCCCACTGGCCTGAGTGCCAAGTCCGACTGAACGGTGCACAGGCACACGTGCTGGACCAGAGCAGCTTCTAGCTCCTGGTTCACGCACTTTCACACAACTGTGGGATTTGGCAGTTTCAGTATCATTTTTATAACAATGTAAATCTTAAAGTTTATAAATTATCAACTCAGAGAGAGCTACATTTTCAAAAAGTGATGAAAAGGCTATCAATTATTTCCTTAAAACTGATATAGAGGAAAGAATTGAAATTTTACAGCCTCCTCAGATGCTGGGAATTACTCTAAAGCAAGCATCTGTTGAAATTACTTACAGAGTTTAAACCATCAAAACTCACATGCAATGCCTTTTCAAACACACTTTAACATTTAATTCTCCAAGATTACTTTAATATTTCTAAAAAAAACTAAATAACCAAGCCACTGTATTTTTATTTGGGCTCCAATCTATATTTAAAAGTAATTACTAGTTAGCTAATAGAAAATTAGAAAAAATTAAATAAGGACAAACTGAATTTACAAAAAAAAAAAGCTTTAGGGACATTATACCTGTCGATCCTATCAGAAAGAGGGCAGTGACAACAGAAAAAGGAATGATCATTAAAGAGAGACACTCATGCGACACTAACACAAATCAGGATTTCTTAGTAAAAAATATTTTACGACATTACAAGCAGAGCTCACTAACACCAGTTCAAAATGCTGAAACAAACAATCACTTAAAACATTTATATTAGAACACATGCAGTAATGAAAAACTTTTCTTTTTTTTTTTTTTGAGATGGAGTCTCGCTCTGCTGCCCAGGCTGGCGTACAGTGGTGCAATCTTGGCTCACTGCAACCTCTGCCTCCCAGATTCAAGTGATTCTCCTGCTTCAGCCTCCCAAGTAGCTGGGATTACAGGCACCCGCCGTCACCCCCAGCTAATTTTGGTATTTTTAGTAGAGATGGGGTTTCACCATATTGGCCAGGCTGGTCTCAAACCCCTGACTGCAGGTGATCTGCCCACCTTGGCCTCCCAAAGTGCTGGGATTACAGGTTTGAGCCACTGTGCGCAGCCAGTAATGACAAATTTATTTAGCTTAAACATGTTTCAGAAAGCATGAACAATAAATTTTCAATCTATAGAATACCTAAATCTACATACACAGTGAATAAGATAATTTAAATAACTTCTTTACAAATATATTTAAAGGTGTTATTCAAATATCCACAAAATGGCTTTATGTATCTGACATGTTCAAGGATACATGTTGCAAACTTAAATCATAGAAACATGCCTCATGAATTCATGAACATGGCTCATGAACTCTCTAGATGATTAAAAAATTAAGCTCACATCTAAGAATCTAGATATCACTCCAATCTAGTTGGATAAATGCTCAACAGATTCAATACACTGTTAATATTTGTGTAGAAAAACATAAAAGGTACTCCACAAACTCACAGAACCGATAAAACAACTGCCCAAGGTAGGGGAAAACCCTGTATGGGATGCTTGGCTGGCAAATGTTTTAGTTGGCAGGACAGAAAATAAAAATGTTTCAGGACTAAAGAACCTAGTGAATAGGGTACACAGGTTTTAACATGAAGAGATGCTCTCCTCTGGGTTGCTATCTAATGCATCCCCCATCACCCTCCTTGCCACACTGTAATAATTGGCTTATTGGACATCTCTGCCACTATACTGTGAGCTCTCAGGCAGAGCCCACATCCTATTTGGTTCTCTAACACCACACATAGTAGAGAATTCAGAAATGTTTCCGGATCACCCACTACTATCAATTATAAAATCTAATATACTACACAAAAGCTATACAGCTAAATTAAAAAGATTTGTTTTCTTTCTCTTAGCTTCTTAGACTGACATCCTCTCTACCACACTTAAGTACATAAAAAAATCATGAACATTAAAATTTTAATGTTTTTGTCTTATAAATGTGAGCATTAAAATCATTCTATTAAACTTTGAATTTCAAAAGAAACATGACTTACCATAATCTCTTAAGAGAGCTTGAGCGGGTCTCTCACTATCGGGAGTTGTGGGCTCCGTGCTTCCGCCACTTGCTGAACTAATACCACTATTAGTGCGACTATGACTCTTCAGGTTATTTTCTCCACCACCCTAGTTAAATGAAATGAATCAAGTGTTTGAGGGTTACATCACAGTTTACAAGTATAAATAAAAGTCAATCATTAAAAACCTTGTTGATAAAACAGAATGTGCCAACTGAATAGCACAAACTGATATTAACAGATAAAAATTGACAAAGGATTAAAACCACTGTGGTATTTTTACATAGACACATCTGCTGGAGGGTACGAAGGGTTTGACTACTACAGGTGTCCATACTGGGGGTCTTCTTTGCCACTATTTACAAAGGGCCAGCCCAGCTTTTTCATCTTCACTAGACTTCACCAGCTACTGATTTGGGTCCTTAAGGAAAATACCCTAGTGCCTCCTAAGCAAAGCTTCAGAACAGAAATATAAGCTTAAAAAACATGAATAAACAAACAACAACAACTTTCAAATATAGTTATATCAGAAAACACAAACAATAAAATACTAGGGTTAGTATGAAGATATGTAGAGGTGCTAATAAACCTATCTATTAGACTTCCCTAATTTTTTCCCCATATAAACACAATTCATTATATTCAGATCAGTAAATTATTATTAACCACCTACAGAGACATGAGTGTAATTTTCTTAATAATAATTTGATCGCTCATCCTACATCTACCCAGCTTATCCTAGTATACCCTATTAACCCCCCATTCTCCTGCCTCTACTCCAAGTATAGGTATCACATATCTTGAAGACAAAGCAGAGAGCACTGGAAGTCTCTGAGAAGCATTTTTTATTTAGAAGCATTGGTGCTTTGCGGGACCTTCAAACTTAGGTTTAGAGGGGTTAGAAAGAAAAAGTTAAACTAGATGCTTGCTGGCTAGAGCTTTTCCTAGGTTATTCAACCAAGTTCGCCACCACAGCAAAACAAGTAAGAGTTTTAAGTAGATACTGTTCAGGAATAAAGACTGGATTTAACTGAAGTTTCTCTCATACAGAATCTCTCGGGGACCTGATGTACAGCTTTTACGAGGCACTGAAAAGTAATCCTCAAAATATACGTTATTTTTAAACAGAATCCTTCTAAGCCAATGACCAGGATTTATAAACCAAAGGCCTTTAAAATTCACAAAGATGGACATTTTGGTATATAATTTACATAAAATCCAAAAGTGATATTCTCTGACAGATTATGTCTTACTTACCATCTCCATCTGGCAACCAATGGCTTCTAAAAGTGCTGAATCTTGAACAATATTTAACATTGCTCCTGCAACAACAAAAAAACAGTATTTTATATAAAATATACAAGAATATTAAAATTGCTAAGACATTTTATATGATTAATAGTGAGATAAGAATATCATTTTGGTTGAACATTCCTGAAATACCTAGGAAATTACAGTTGGCCCTTGAACAACATGAGTTTGAACTGTACATACGCAGATTTTTTTCAATAAGTATGTTAGAAAATTTTTTGAAGATCTGTGACAATTTGAAAAAACTCCCAAACTGTACAGCACAAAAATATCCAAAAAATGGCTCGGTGCAGTGACTCACACCTGTAATCCCAGCACTTTGGGAGGTTGAGGTGGGCAGATCACGTGAGGTCAAGAGTTCGAGACTAGCCTGGCCAACATGGTGAAACCCCATCTCCACTAAAAATATAAAAATTAGCCAGGTGTGGTGGCATGCGCCTGTAATCCCAGTTATTCAGGAGGCTGAGGCACAAGAATTGCTTGAACCTGGAAGGTGGAGGTTGTAGTCAGCCAAGATCGTACCCCAGCACTCCAGCCTGGGCAACAAAGGAAGACTGCATCTCAAAAAACCAATTGAAAAAACAATCGGGCCTGATGCATGCCTGGAATCTGTAACCCCAGCACTTTGGGAGGTCAAGGTACAAGGACCATTTGAGGCCAGTAGTTTGAGACTAGACTAGACTGGGTAGCATAGAGAGACTCTCGTCCTTACAAAATATTTAAAAAGTTAAAAAAAAAAAAACTTTGTTGTGAAAACAATTTTATAGTTATAAAACTAGGGAAATGTCTACATTCTATTGTTGAGACTTTAGAAGAAAAATGTTTCCAGAAAAGGTATATATTTATGTAAAATTTAATTCATATTTAAACAAAAATGTCTGGAATAGTATTTACCAAAATGTCAACAATGTTTATCTCTGAGTGGTGAGCTTTGATAGAATTTTACTTTCTTTATATTTTATATATATATATATATATATATTTTTTTTTTTTTTTTTTTTTTTTTTTTNAAAATTGGCTGGGCAGGGTAGCTCATGCCTGTAATTCTAGCACTTTGGGAGGCCAAGGCAGGAGGATCGCTTGAAGCCCTAGACCAAAGTAGGCAACAAAGCAAGACACTGTCTCTAAAAATAAATTAAAAAGATACAATGTATCAAAACTTATATACACAAACACAGACCATACTTGATGCCATTTGCAATTCACAGAAATGTAAACAAAGATGCATTATTAAAAAACTGCATAAAATTAACTGTAGTACATACTCTACTTCTGTAATAATTTTGTTGCCTCCTCCTGTTGTTATTGGGGTGAGCTCAAGCATTAATGAGTATCCTCCCTAAAATACAATGTGATGCTAACCATCTCCATGTGAGTAGTTCACCTCTCTAGCAGATTGAATATTGCAGTAAATTGCATATCATGGTTCTCCCATATTTTCATAATGTTTAGTGCAACACCATGAACCCTGACTAACACCGTGGGACCCACACAAAGTGCCACTAGTGATGCTGGAAGTGCTCCCAAGAAGCAGAGAGAACTCATGACATTACAAGAAAAAGCTGAGTTGCTTGATATGTACCGTAGATCACGGTCTGCACCTGTAACTACCCAACATTTCAGATGATTCATCTTGTAAACAGAAAATTTATAGTATCAATAAATACAGTACAGTACTACAAATGTATTTTCTCTCATGATTTTTTTTTTTTTCTGAGACAGTCTCCCTCTGTCGCCCAGGCTGGAGTGCAGTGGCGTGATCTCAGCTCACTGCAACTTCCCCCTCCTGGGTTCAGAGAGTGTGCTCCCCCTCCTGGGGAGGGGGAGAGAGAGAGAGGGGAGGGAGGGAGGGGGAGAGAGAGAGAGAGAGAGAGAGGAGAGAAGGGGGGGAGAGAGAAAGAGAGGGGAGGGGGAGAGAGAGAGAGAGAGGGGGAGATTTTTTTCTTTTTTTTTGGGAGACAGAATGACAAGAGTTTTGTTCCTGTTGCCCAGGCTGGAGTGCAATGTCACAGACTGGGCTCACTGCAACCTACACCTCCCAAGTTCAAGCATTCACCTTCCTCAGCCTACCAAGTAGCTAAGATTACAGGAAGGTGCCACCACACCTGGCTAATTTTTGTATTTTTCATAGAGACGGGCTTTCACCATGTTGGCCAGGCTGGACTCATGATTCACCCGCCTAGGCCTCCCAAAGTGCTGGGATTACACCATGTACTTCTTAATAAAATATTCTTTTCTTCAGCATACTTTATTGCAAGAATGTAGTATATATTAATATGCATAAAATACAAAATATGTGTTAATCAACTGTTGCTGGTAAGGTTTCTGGGCAACAGTAGGCTATTAGCAGTTAAGTTTTCAGGGGATCGAAAAGTTATATGTGGATTTCAACTGCTGAGGGAGTTGGCATCACTAATCCGTATGTTGTTCAAGGGTCAATTCTAATAATAAATCCACTGATTGATCAGAAGAGACTCTAAAAATTCCCTAAGTCTGGCCAGGTACATTGGCTCACGCCTATAATCCCAGCACTTTGGAAGGCTAAGGTAGGCAGATCACTTGCGATCAGGAGTTCGAGACCAGCTTGGCCAACATGGTAAAAACCCAGTGTCTACTAAAAAATACAAAAATTTTCAGGGCATGGTGGTGGGTGCCAGTAATCCCAGGTACTTGGGAGGCTGAAGTGGGAAAATCACTTGAACCTGGGAAGCAGAGGCTGCAGTGAGCTGAGATCATGCCACTGCCCTCTAGCCTGGGTGACAGAGCGAGGCTCTGTCTCAAAAAAAAAATTTTTCCTAAAATAAATGTGGGCCAGGCACAGCGGCTCACACCTGTAATCCCAGCATTTTTGGAGGCTAAGGTGGGAGGACTGGGGGAGCCCAGGACTAGCCTGGGCAATATAGCAAGACTTCATTTTTTTTTTTTTTTCCCTAAAAAAACAATTAGCCAGGCATGGTGGCACACGCCTGTGGTCCTAGCTACTTCAGAGGCTGTGGTGGGAGGATCACTTGAGTCCGGGAGGTTGGGGTGCAGTGAGCCATGATTGCACCACTGTGCTCCAGCCTGGGCAACAGAGCAAGAACCTGTCTCAGGGGGGAAAAAAAATTAAATAAATAAAACCTAAATAAATAAATTTTAAAAAATGAACGTGAGGATCAAACTTTGCTTTATTTAAAAATATGCTCATTATCAGATTTTTTAAAACTAGTATAAAAGACCAGATGTAAGCATCTCAATTTCAAGGGTAATACAAACTAAAGAAAATATTATGGAATATTTTAAAAACTAGGTTCTAGTCTTAAAAATAAAACAGAAATTACTGTTTTTTTCTACAGGTAAAAAGAAAAATAAATAAAATAAAACAAAAAGTATAAAATAAAAGTCACAGCAATACTTTTCTGACCACACTATTTTTTAAGAATGATTAAAGCAACACAGTCTGGGGCTTGTCAACATCTGCATACCCTAAAGTAAGCCTCATTTATTTATTATCAAGGAACCCATTGTCCTGGAAAGGCTAGGACAGAAATGAGATGGTGAGCCTAATGCACTGCATCTCATCTCAGTGGGAGGTACTCTTGCCCACTGTGGATAAAGAGAAGACGGAAAGAGCTTTGCCACTTTATGGCAAGAGTAACAACTGACTCTTCCTTGGAAAGTACATAGGGAGCGCCTCAGAGCAAGGGTATAACAAAACCAAATACGCTTCAATCGTAGAAATTATATGATTTCAAGCAAAATTATGTTATTTAAATAACCTAAAACATTGTAACTTGGAAATTCTCACATGTCAAAACATCCCCCTCCACATACACCACCCTCTGTGTTCAGAATGCATCTGAGACAGTTATCGAACCCACTGGTAAACTCTCGTTCCAAACCTTGGTCAGACTGACCACATTAACTTCACAAGGTCTCTAAAAGCCCAGCATGAACAAGAATATAGCTATATAGCATAACTGGGAATATAAAGAGCAGAAAACTCCGAGTCTAGAAAATCGTGTCCACAATTAAATTAATGGCATTTGAGACTTATGAGACCCTCAAATTTTTTTTTGCCCAGCTACAGACAACTCCAGTCACCTACTAATTGGGTGTCTCCGGAAAAATATGGTTTTTGGCTGTTGTGACCCATCTCTTCAGGATCTGTCTCTCTCGGTTTTAGAGGCCTGTCTCTCTCAGTTTTAGAGGCCTTTCAGAAACCATTCCAAGGACTGTGTTCCTGTCGGAAGGACATATACCCCACCTCCTCTGGGAACATAAGGGCTTAAAGGAAACATCTGATTCAACTTTTGAACAGATAAAAATCTAAGATGCTAGGAAGAAGCCTAACGCTTGTCCTGCTAATGAAGAGAAGAAAGTAAGCCTCTAACCACTGTAAGGTCAAGGCATTCTCAGAGATCAACTGCTCCATAAGCAGGGAGTTCTAAGTGTTACCCAGGTTTGAGGGCTGGGATGGTATTTGCAGTCACATGGTTCTGTGGGGACTCCTGTTAGGTGGCTGAGGAAAGCACTACTTTTCCGAGAGCTTCCACTATCGAGGGTGGTGACCTCAATACCCAGGGTTGCACTTCAGTGGTACTGAGACCCAGAAGCAACAACTGAAAACCTTTTTTCTAATATAATTTGCTGTTTCAAATATAAATATTACTGTTTACCCAATTTGAACATCAGATCAGAGGAAGAAAAGAAGAGCTTCTTTGTTCATCAGGGTCTCTCTGAGGATTTTCAGGGAGATAACACTGTCCATTAGTGCTAACACTAGATCTGTCAATCAACAAATACTTTATATTTTGAAAAACATGTCAAAAAGGGGGAGTTCAAATATTTAAATAAGACAATTTCAGGTTCCGTGCTGTGAAAAAGAAAGATGAAATAAGATAATTTTTAGCAAGGTCTGTTAGGAAAGCTCTCTCTAAGAAGATGATAAAGAAAAGCCAAACAAAAATCTAGGGAAATAACATCCTAGCAGGAGGAATATAAAGTAATGCTCTGAAGAAATCATGAGCTGGATGTGTTCAGTGAATGAGAAAAAAAAAGCCAGTGTGAAGGAGGCACAGAGAATTACAAGGAAAATCCAGACCAATGAGACCTGTAAGTAATGGGCAGGAGGACGAGAAAGAGGCAGGAGGAAGGAGGGCAGAAAGAAAGGAGAAAAGAAGAGAGAGATGGGAAGGAGAAGCAAAGAGTAAGGAAAGGAGAGAAGGGAGGAAGAGAAAGAGCGAGGGAGGAAGAAAGCAACAGCACAAATAAAATGACCAACCAAGACAAACTGCAACACTTTACTTCCCTGATCTCACCCCTTTAAATTTCTTTACATAAAAAACTAACTGTGCCTCTGACTCAGAAAAGTAGAGCTACACTAGGTTTAGGCTCCCGTCACCAACTGCTGCCTCCTCAGCAGGCCTGCAGTCAACAGTACTTGGGTTTTCACTTGCAAAATAACGTGTGAATACAAACCTAGTATCATTTGGGTGTTGTTGGGGTCCGTTTCTGTTTGCAAGGCACCTATTAATATATTCACAAGTCTCAACTTCAGGGACAGAAAAGTTATTGGTTTATCATAAGAAGAGCTTTCATCATTACTAAATTTTCCTTCCAGGACCACCTATGGAAAAAACAAATAATATTTAACATCAGCTGTTGCAGCTCATGATGCCCACATGGGAACAGCTAGATAGAGGAAGAGATCAGTCTAATGAGCAAAGCTTTCAGTCTAGTATTAGCCGCTGTGCTAATTCTGTCACTAACACTATGTTAATAAATGTCCTTAGCCTATAACTGCTTGAAAACTGGTAGAAAAACTGACAGGGAAAAAAAAAAATCACAAATCAATTTTGTTAATTCACTTGAAATAACTTGAGTGAAATAACTTGAGTTTAAAAATAAAAAAGCTCCCGTTCCATTTTTAACATTCAATTTGACTTAAATTAGTACACAACACAGAATATACAATATAGAAAACTTTAATAAAACAATACCTCAGATTTGACTGTGCCAAAATGATGAGGGAGGGGCAACAAAGAAAGCAGGATATTAATGGAGGATCTTCTCAATTCTGTTGGATTTACATAGCTTTTGAATTTTGAGAGTTCTCTGCCAAAAAAATAAAAAGCTATCAGTATTTTTAACTAAAATACATTTTTAGCTACTGCAAAATATATATAATGCCAATTTTTCCAAATCCATTGGAAATCCAAAAGCATTGTGTATATGTGTATTGTGTATTTCTAAGTTAAACTGTTACCAAACTAAACTAGACACTTACTGATTGATTGATTTCTTTATCTAAAATGTAAGGCCTACTCTACAAAGGTAAGACCTCTGTGCTGGAGTCGCTCTTACCCTTCCAGACCAGGCCAGAAAGGATTCAACAACCCCATAGACAAATCAGAACTGAAGGAGATCAGGGATGAGGTGGGTCCGGACACGCTACACTTATTTAATGTGGCCTGAGTCCCCTTGGACTATGAAGACAACTGGACAGAATACATTGGGAAACTGGGGAGGAAGCACCAACAGACCAGGCCAAATCAGACAGTTGATTTAAAAGCAGAGAATGATAGCTTACCTGTCAGGCAAAATGGTTTCAAGAGCTGAAATAAAGTAAGGAACCACAACATCAATCCCTTTCAAGTCACAGCAGAACAAAGGAGGAGAGTTTAGAATAACGCTGGCCAAGACAGGATGGCACACATAATCATTTATCTGCAAACCTTGAATTAAAAGCATGTAAAATCTAGGAAAGCAAGAAAAAAATTTTAAACAAACTGCTGATCAAAAGTTTTCATAATTATTATTTGCTACATAGTTATCTGAAAGTCTATTTCCACCCTTCACTATTTTTACCCTTTAAAGGGTATTATTATTGGAATTACTGGAATTTACTGGAATTACCTGAATTTTACCCTTTAAAAGGTATTACGGGAATTAAAACAATTCTGATTCATATACACTAAGACCCAAATCATCCTTCTTAATGAAGAAAAAAAAATTCATGTTCATTATACCTTCTCAAAGCTTAAGCCTTGCAACTCAAAGTTATAGGGGGCAGCAAATAAGGCAACAGAACAAAACAAAACGATAGGCTGCAGTACTTTTCAATAAACTGAGGGAATTGCTGAATTAAATTCTGTAACAGAAAAATGTTGCAAAATTTAGTAATTCCTATGGAAAAAAGTATGTTTACATTTTTGTCCCTTCCCTATTATTTTTGGGGGTACAATGAAAGAAAGCAACCTGTATTCGATCCTCTGTATTCATCATGAAGGTCACCTGAATGAGATTCCTTTTAGGAAAATACCTAAATATACCTTAGTTTTAACTCCACCCCCAACCTCTAATTAACTAAGCATTCAATCTCCTGTTATTCAAGAGCAACTATACTGTTACACTCTTCTACTGTGAAGTACTTTTCTCTTCTTTGCAAAACTCTTCAGAAACAACTTCTTCACCTACTGGTTACTGCTCAACCCATTTCAATCTATCTTCTCTCCCTAGAACTCAACTAAAACCATACTAGCAAATAACTAAGGGACTCCTGATTTCAGAATCTAGAAGACATGACTAAGTCTTAACTCAGTCTGCCTTCTGAAAGCATTCAACCCTTTGATTACTCCCTTCTTCTCTCCTTGTTCTTCCCTGATTTCTATGACCATTTCCTTTAACACGTCCTTTTACTCTATCTGCCCCCAACAGCGGTGTTCCTCAGGCTGACAACCTCAGTTCTCGACACTCTCTCTTTTACTAGCCTGATTTTAAACACTTCTTAAGTCACTGAATACAATCAAATCATTTTAACCCACACCTCTCAACTGAGCTCCGGATCTATTAGCCAAAAGCTTACTGGATATCTGGATGCCTACTGATTACTATGGTACTTCTGTGCACAATATCTGGCACACAGTAGGACTTAATACATATTTATTAATAAATATCCCACAGGCACTTTAAATTCAATCGATTCACCGGGCCCAGTGGCTCACGCCTGTAATCCCAGCACTTTGGGAGGCCGAGGTGGGTGGATCACCTGAGGCCAGGAGTTCTAGACCAGCCTGACCAACATGGTAAAACCCTGTCTTTAAAAAAAATAAATAAATAAAAAATAACAGAAATTCAATTCAAAACTAAACTGATCACTTGCCCTCTCACAAATCTGTGGTTTCAGTCTGTCCTACTACCACCCATTCAGTCTTATGGCTCAGTCAGAAAGCTCATGGTCATAGTCTTCCCTGCTACTACTACGGTATCATTTAGGGTATCTCCCCAGCCCACAGTTCCTGAGAAATGTGCCCCCACAACAAGGAGTGAGCTCCAGCACCCTTATGTGACCCACCTTCACAACTGCAGCTGACTAGACCAGAGACAGGCAGATTAATTAGATCTTCCTTCCCAGAAATCTATAATTAAAATTCAGAGACACTAATTGGCTCTGATGGTCACCTAGACAAGGCCATGAAAACTGAGAACTTAGAAGCACACTACAATATGAGAAAATGATCTGCAGAGAAGAGAAGAATGAAGCAGTTCTGGGAGACCAGTAAGACAGAAAGAAAGAGGAATAAAACTGTTCTGGTCCTTGAGTATCTGCTCTTCATGAGGCCATGCTGTACTTCCTGACCTTAGAATTTAATAAATATCACTAGCTCTCACAACTTACTCTATTTTTGCTTAAGTCAGGTTGAAAGGGTTTCTGTTGCTTAAAGCCAAGCCCCTATAGTTAAGATAACCCAGGTCGGGCACGGTGGCTCACGCCTGTAATCCCAGCACTTTGGGAGGCCGGGGTGGGCAGATCACCTGAGTCAGGAGTTCTAGACCAGCCTGACCAACATGGTGAAACCCCATCTCTAAAAATACAAAAATCAGCCAGGCATGGTGGTTTTTGTATTTGCCTGAAGTCCCAGGTACTTGGGAGGCTGAAGCAGGAGAATCACTTGAGCCCAGGAGGTAGAGGCTGCAGTGAGCAGAGATCAAGCCACTGCATTCCAGCCTGGGCAACAGAGCAAGACTCTGTCTCAAATAACTAAATAAATAAATAAATAAAATCATCCTGCCTAGCTGCCTGTATATACCATTCTTTCTCATATCTATAAACTTCTGTACTTGGTTCCCTCTGATGGAGTCAGTTTAGTTCTATGTCCTGAGAACCTAGCAAGTATGCAGATATCTAAATACTGTTGATATTAACTTCACTTCTGCACCTGTGTGAATGATCAGTTAAGGAAGGCAAAACAGTGTCAAGATAAACAGGAGGCCACTATGAGTTAACTTAGGAGAAAAGTGACAAAGTCTAAAGTGTAATGGTGGGGACAGAGTAAAAAGAGAGATCAGAAAGAGGGTTAAGGAGCAGAAAGGGAGGAGTTGGTTGATCAACTAAAGATACAGAAGAGGATTCTAAAATGACTCTAGTTTCTGGACTGAGCAACTGAATGGATGGCACAGGCATTCATAAAGATAGTTGAAGCCAGAGATTTGGAGAAGATGACCCCAACCACCTTCCTAACAGAGTCTAAATACTACCCTAAGTTCAGCATAATCATTCAATCCTCCATAACTCTTACCCCTGGAGTAAATAAATATGTGCTGCTTCTTCCCCTGAATGCCAACAGCACATTATCTGTGCCTCTCCCATCAACATCCTATTCCTGTTGGATCATTGTCATGTGTGTACATGGCTTTGTTCATGGCTTTGCCCAGAAAATAAGCTCCTTGGAGGCAGGATTTATAGCTGACTTATTTCTGGACTGCCTACATGTGAATACTGTGCCAAAAATTTGTTAACGAATTATTGTAGTCCTTTGAAATCTCTCCATATTAAAAAGGTTCAAATAAGATGACATAAATAGCACTTCTAAAACAAAAAAGGTCTTAAGGGGTCTTTACCAAATCTGATGAGGCAGGTAAAATGAAAGATTTCAGGCAAATGCCAGTCACTTACAGACATCTGTAGGTATTTCAGACCAACATTCACTCATCAGTTCTGTCTGCCAAGCCGTGCTACAATGGCTTCACTAACAAAACTATATAAATGAAAAAACAAACAAAAATTCCAAGACCTGGATAAATAAGCTGGCAGAATCTCTTCTCCAGTCTTCTTGCTACAAAAAATCCTACACAGTGTCCCACAAGCCTCAGCTCTTCCTGCTTCATAGTTATCAGGAAATTCACTTGCATCAAACATAGGATTGGAAACCATGGTGTCTGTGGACATTTGTGACCCTTTCCGTCGAAACTCCATGCTAGCTTGTGTTGTAATGGCTGGGGAGAGAAAAGGAGGGTTTTATTATATTTGCAATATGCCAAATAGGCTCATGGGACCCTGGACACAAAGATCAAATGTTGGTGTCATTAAATAGCTACTTGAATCCAATAAGTGCTTTTGTTTAGCAACTATGTCTTAATGTTTTTAAAAAGGGCTCTCTGAAATCTTCTTTGAAAATAAGTTACAATTAATTTACAGTGGCATTGTCAGTTTAACAGTTTGTACAAGAAGCATTTTTCAACTGAATTTTTGATCAGCAGAGTACATTTGTATATATCTGTATCCATATACAGATATATAATACAAAATTTGGCTTTTCTATTATTTCTTTCCTGTTTTTTCTTCCCCCTAAAGAATAATGCTTAAACGTTAAGAAAAATAGCTACTGCAATTTACACATTACCCCAGATGGACACCATAATTAAATGGGCAACCCCATGCCAATCTGTATACTTGAGGGAGAGGCCAAAGGAAGGATGAGAAGTGGGCAGGGAGAAAAAGAGAGCATTCCCACCATCCACCCAACTCCAAAACACACACCAAAGAATTGCCCAACCAAGCAAAATGAGAATGAATTTTAACAACCACAGACAGCAGCTAACTTGAGGTTGATAAATCAGAAAATTGGATTGATAAGAAAGATTCCATGGTCATTCGTTATCACTGAAACAGAAGCCCTTCGAAAGTTGCTTTTATTTTTAACAAAAGATTTCACAGTGTATTGAAAACCACTCTGAAATCTTTCATTACTCTACATGAAATGCTTATTTTATAATAGATTTAATAGAATGCAGAGTCAAGCGTAAATCTTTATGCAACTTCCCATGAGCCGTTTTTAATCCTGAATAAGCTATCCAGCAATAATACATTTGAAAAACACTACATGCAGAATGCATACAAATCAAACACTAAATCTGTATAAAAATAAGCTTAAAGCT